CACCTTCTAACCCCCCCAGGAAGCTGGACACCTCCTGGTGCAATGGCTCAGAGCACACTCCCGCCCCTGCGAGGGCTCTGGGCACCAGCACAGGGCCAGGGGCACGGGCAGGGCTATGTGGAGCCAGCTGGGGATGACAACCGCCAGCTAAGCCCCCAGCCTCCTGCTCTGCTCAGGAAGAACAGACCCCTCCAAAGGAAATTTGCTGTCCCAGCACAGACCAGGACTGCGAGGGGAGAGCTGGGAACAGGCAGCCCTGACCCAGCCAGGCAGGCACAGAAAGCAGCTTCGCACCTGCAGACTTGCTCTCCGAGAGCTCCAACATCCTGAGGAGTCCCCTCTCCTGCCTTCCAACGTCCTGCCAAGGAGAGGAGAACCACTGTCACGGTGCTGCCACGAGGGAGCCCCATAGCTGGCGTGGCCCCATCACCGTGCTTCCCCCAGCCCACAGGGTCAGGCTGGGCACAAGTGGCAGTGCTGCATTTCCAGGGCCTCCAGCTGAGCACAGGAAGCTGCCAACAGGAAGGTCACGGACCTGTGCCCAGCTTGACTGGTGCCCAAGCAGAGGCAGCTGAGAGCAAGTCAGTAAAGCAGAGGCCAGTGAGAGAGGAGGGCAGGGTGCAGGAAGCCATCCCCCAGCCCAGCCAGCAAGCACACGGCTGCAACAGAGAAACCTGGGGGCTCTGCCACGGCTTTGGCCACATCGCCCAGCACTGTGCCTCGGAGGGCAGGCCCCATCCTGCTCTGTCTGAGGGCTTGGTGCTGAAGGGAAGGGCCTTCCCCCAGGGCACAGCCAGATGAGGAACACACATCTTATGTCCCCTCTTGGCCCTGGGAAGATGCAGCCATGCTGGTCACACAGGCTAAGGGAAGACCACTTGGCCTGGCTGCTTTGAGCCTTGCCCAGCAAAGTCCCCTCTCCTGGCTGCTCCCTGCCCCCAGAACTGCTCTAGAAGCTACTGGCATCTCAGCTGCAGGGTTGGAGCTGCAAAGCACTGCAAAATGGGCTGTGGCAGGAACCCACAAGCCCAAAAGTGGGGGCTCAGCCCATGCCCAGGCATGACCTGCTCCCCCCACAGAGCTGCCACCTTGGCACAAGGCAGGGCCAGAGGAAACAGAGCCTTGCCAAGCTGCCTGGTGCCAGCACCTTTTCCCCATGCCCTGTGCCCATGTGTGCAGAACCCTGCACACCAGCCAGCTGTGGGGCACAGGGACAGGGTCAAAGAGCCCCCACAGAGCTGGTCACATGCAGGAGCAGCCGTGCCCTGCAGTACTCTGAACCACACAGTGCTTGGCTGTATGCCAGCCAAAATCATCAACCAGAAATCTCGTCATTTGCATCTGAATCCCCAAAGGGATGAGGCCTGTGATGGATTTAAGGGATTATACGAAACTAAGACATCATGTTGCATCTTCATACTGAGAATCACATTGCTGAGTGCAGGCAAAGCTGTGGCACTAGGGCTTTGCCCGCAGGAACCAGCAAGAAGGCCCAGAAGGACCCTCTCTGTGCTCTCCTAGGACCACCACGAGCAGGAAAAAGCACAGTGGGGGCCAACACCTGGCGAGTGACTGTGAGACAGCTGCTACCCACACTCCTGCCTCCCACCTTCCCTAGCAAGGCACATCCCCCATGCCCAGGCCACTTCCACCACACTCACTCCCCCATGTTTCTCCTGGGATGCTCTGGTTTGCTCCTGGCACCGAGCGGTTTTCCCTGCTCCAGCTCTGAAGCCTTCCCCATGGAAAAGGGATCGTGGATAGAGTCAGATACGCTTGTCACCCTGACGCTGCCCTCCACTCCATCTATATTGAGCCAAGGAAGGCTGCAGGGCTGAGGCGTGCTGCCTGGCAGCGGGACAGCCCTGGCTGCCTGCCTGCTGGAGAGGTTACTGGCAGCTCCACTGGATTAGCTCACCCCTGGGACCAGTCCATGCTCTCACAGAGCGTCGCAGGAGGGAGGGCAATGAGTTCTCTGGCCCTGGCAGCCCTCAGGGACAGGCAGTCCTACACCAGGTCAGCTCATCCCGTCAGAGAGGAAAACTGCACCTGCTGCCAACCCAGCCCCAAAGCCAGCGCAAAGCAAAGGAGATGGTCTGCAGGGTCGCCCCTCACCTTGGCGCTTCGCAGCCTCCTGGTTCCCTGAGCTTGCCTAGCAGCCTGAAGGCAGCTGTCCACATGCCTCTGATACTGCAGCAGTGGCACCAGTGACTTACAGAGGTAGCACTTCTCACACCTGCCAGGCAGCAAAGGACAGAGCACTGCATTAGGATTCACCCTGCACCAGGCTCCCAGCCACCAGCAGTGACTTTCCTCCTCCAGCCCACGCCACAGAGAAGACGTGTCACCAGATCGGGTCTTGCTCAGTGGGGTCAGGGTGGGCACCAATGGCAAAGACGGAGTGATTATCAGTTTTCCCTGCCTGTTCCTCTGTATCCTGCTGCTGCAGCAGCGGGACGGTAATCAAATCTGCTCATCTAACTATCTCAAACACCGCTGATTTCTCCCCAGACATAAAGCACCCTGTCAAAATCCACAGAAATGAAGTGTGAGGGCTTTGCAAAGGGGAGTTAAATTCTGCCTGAAAACCAAACCAAGTGTGTTAAATCAGAGAGACATTTTACCAGGGCTGGATGAACTTGTCTGACTAGTAAATCAAGTCTTTCTCTGCACTGTCTCTATTTTACATCATGCCACGTTGGGAGAGGAATACAGAACACATGCTCCTGCTGGGGGGCTGGCACAGCACATTCCTCAGACCCCTCATTTGTGTAGAAGATGCCCAAGCTCCCGCAGGAAAACTGAGTGTGTTTGGGAAGAAAATTATCCTGGGTGAAAGGAGATGAAGGTTAGGCATGGATTTACACAGCTACACTCGCTTCCACACCAGCTCTCAGTGGGGACCGAACTGTGCAGAAGAGGGCACTGGTTCTTCAGGAGGGGAACATCCATCCAGAGAGCTATTTAGGAATGGACCGTCTCCAGGGAGAGACAAGCCTCCAGGGACCAGCCTCAGCAGCATTGTGTTTGGTTTGACAGGCAGTACTCTCCTAGTAAAACTCACCCCAGGCTCTAAAATGCATACGGAGAGACCCCACCGAGCAAAATTCTGCAGTACTTTTCCCGTATTTTCTTTCCAGTCAGTGCTGATTACCCAGATAATGTGTCTAAACAGAAGCTGTCCTCTCTATAATTAGCCTAATTCCATTAGTGATGTTGCCATCCACTGTTTGTAACAGCAAAATTGCTTCCATAGCAGGGATTTTACTGTCAGATCCTCTCTTATGATGCTTTGTGTGGGTGGCAGGAGGAGGGGCTGCATGGGAAGAGATTAAACAAAGCCACTGCTATTCTGAAAGTCTAATTTAATTAAGAATATCACTACAGGTGCCATGTTGACAGCCTCCCTGTCCTAGCCTCTTCTTATCCCAGGGTTACCACGCTCAAATCTCCCACTAGAAACTGGCTGAGTTAGCACTATTTTAGCTACAGCTCCCCCCACAGTGGCCACACATCCCTGACCTGCCATGGATTAGGTTGAAAGGAAATTAGTGCAAAAATAAACAATCTGAGAACAATCAATTCCTCTTGCTTTGGTATAAATATAGCCAGCACTGCAACCAGAGGCACTGAGAGAAGGCAATTTCTTAGGGGAACATTGCTATAACGCCAACAGCCAGCATTTATACAGGAATAAAGACATCCACGGGCAAGCTAGAACTGAAGCACAGAAACAATCTTGGAGGAGCAAGCATACCTACTTACTTGTCAATGTCTAAGGGTGTTGGGCCGCTTTCACCACTGGCAGCTTTATTTCTTGCCTCTCTCTGACGCCGGGTGAGCACTGGAAGAAAAACAAAGGGTTACCTGCCATCCACCCCAAAAGCATCCCTACACCGTGTCCACATGCAACACATTTCAACCTCTTCCACTCAAGGCTGCAGCACAAGGGTTGGTAGAGGCAAAGAAATACTGGACTGGGACGGGCAGGGTCTTCTTTCCTACAGAAGAGATAGCTGGCCAGTTCTCCTTTTTTCTGGGGAGATACCAAAGAAGTTGTCTTCCCCAGACTCGGAAGGCAGCTGGCCATTTCACACTGTAACTTGTCTTCTGCCAGAAACAGCTGGATCAACAGTACACAGTTTACAGTAATTTTAAAGCTGACGTGCAGCAGCGCAGCAGCCTGGGAGCAGAGTCACCCAGCTGCTCCAGCAGCACAGCTCCGCTCCCTGCCAAACCCAGCGCCCGTGCCTACCGCAGGGGAGGGAGCGCGGTAACGGCCAGAGGGGGGAAGGAGAGCTGAGGAAAGGGCATCAGCCCTTCTGCACAAGTGGTAGGAGGGATACAGCTCACACTGGAAAGGGAAGGTTACAACAACTAGCCTACACTCATAGAATCATAGAATGGTTTGGGTTGGAAGGGACCTTAAAGCTCATCCAGTTCCAACCCCCCTGCCATCAGCAGGGACACCTTCCACTAGACCAGGTTGCTCAAAGCCTCATCCAGCCTGGTCTTGAACATCTCCAGGGAGGGGGCATCCACAACTTCCTTGGGCAACCTATTCCAGTGTCTGACCACCCTCACAGTGAAGAGTTTCTTCCTAATATCTAATCTAAACCTCCCCTCTTTCACCTTAAATTCATTCCCCCTTGTTCTGTCACTAACTGCTCTTATGAAAAGTCCCTCCCCAGCTGTCTTGTAGCCCCTTCAGGTACTGGGAGGCCGCTATAAGATCTCCCTGGAGCCTTCTCTTTTCCAGGCTGAACAGCCCCAACTCTCACGGCTTTTTCCACTGCCCACGTGAACTGGGGTGATCTGTACTATTGTCCACATCCAGCTCAGCAGGGCCTCTGGATGAAGATCTCTACCAGGGCTGAGCATCAGTGGTGCTGCTCTCCAGCCGCAGCAGCAGGGAAGGGCCAGCTCTGACACACGTCAGTAGCTAGCGAGATCCCGGCTGACCAGCATGCTGATGACGGGTCCAACAATTTCTGTTCCTCCAGCAAACCCAAGCAGCCTTTCCAAACCTGCTCTCCAGGCATCTGCAGGGAACAATGTCAGAGCATTTTCTCTTTCAGTCAAATTCCTCTCAGCATATTCCTGTTGACATGCCACCAGCAAAGATCCTGGGGGAACATATCAGATAACTTAGCTTGCTTCACCAGGGATGTTCAAGACTCCAGCTCCAGAACAGATGTCACAGTAAGCACTTCCAGGCGAGCTGGCTAAGGGGACAATGCAGGGAGCTATTTTACAGCAATGGGTAACACTGCTTCCCATACTCTCATCAGAAGAAAGGTCTGAATGCAAGGTATAGGCAGGACAAATCTGTCATTGGTGGCACACCACTTGTGATAAAAAAAGGGACGCACAAAATTTTGTGCAGAACAAAGGGAATCCTTCAGAATTTTAGCAAAACCCCATTTCAAGAGTGCTAGGCAAGCCCAGTATCTATTAATGATGCTGATACAACATGGCCTTTCCCTTAGTAGCCATCACTGATCTGTAGCCACGACCAGCAAATGCACTGTGAGATGCTCAGGAGCTGCTGGGGCTGACGGGAGACATCCATGCCGAAGAAACAAGCTCAAGATCTCCTAGGACGTGCGTATTGTCTCGTAGGTGATGACGGACACCAACAGCTCATTTCTCACAGGCACTGAGGCAGACGTCTCTCTTTAACTTAGCCTGGCCCAGATTTGAAGTGGCAGCCTGACTAGGAGGACTGACAACCATGGCCACCCCCCAGGCCATTCAGCCTCCCAACAACCCAACTAACACGTGCACTTGACAGTGTGGTGAAAGCTGCTCTCCAAATCAGCGTGCACTTGTTAATATTCCTTTAACACCATCTTGGGAGCCTCGTGCATCAGCTCAGGTGTTAATCAGTTCTATTTTCTTCCAAAAGCAGTGAACACATCTGGCATAATACGTCCATTAGAGATGTCTGGGACCAGCTCTTCAGCTGCCCAGGGGGAGACCCCCAGCTGTGCTGCAGAAGCAGAGGCACAGGAGAAAGAACAGGGCCAGCTGGTGAGGCACAACCCCTGCCAAACATGCTGGCTGCCTGCATGAAGGGGGTTCAGAACATGGTCAAACAGTTGCCACGGGGCAAATCCCCACCACAGAGCAGTGCTGAGCCACTGTGTGACAGGAGCCTTGAAACTCTCCCAGATGTGACAGTCTTTGCTGGGTCAGACACACTCTGTAGACCGAGAACAAGCTTTTGCCTGGCTCGGCATTTCTTCTGGTTGACAAGTCATCCTTGGCTTGCCTGGCTCCAGCTCACACCCTGGGAAAGAGGAACAAACCCTCCCCAGCATGGCCCCGCTATCAGCTCACCCACCCCAGGCACCTCCTGGGGCTGCCAGGTCAGGTCAGCGTGCAGAGCCGCAAGGTCACAGTCACCAAGCCCCTCGCTTCGCTGCATGGCCCATCTGCAGTGTGACCCACCAGCTTCCTCCCCACTCTCACTACCAGCTGCACCACTGTTGTGCAGGATCCTATTGGTGGCAAGTTCACCAGAATCTCGTCCTTTCTCAGAAGTGACCAAGCTTTCCTCTGCACCCATTCCATCACGCTGCTCTACCAGTGCCACTTCTATTGATGTCAGGAGCTTTTTAACAGCACCAGTGCTGCTGCTGAAGACTTGACAGCTGCATCAGGTTGCATTCGAGGCTTTGGGAGGAAGGGATATATCAAATTCTCATTTTCCTGGGCTCACTTGGGAACTGGGAGGCTGGGAGTGTGTAGATGGAGGGCAAGAGGAACAGAGCATGTCCCAAAGCTCGAGACTATTTGTTGTACTCAGTAACAGCCAAGACTCGCTTCCAGACTGAGACCAATGGATTCCTGCGCTGGCAGCAGCAGCAGCGGGCGATGGATGCAGATCTCACACAAGCGAACCCTTCAGCCAAGAGCATGAAGGAAGAGGGAGCTGGCACAGCACTTTCACAGCTCCACTTGTTCTCCTGGAATTAACACCAGTCACTGAGCTGGAAACCCAGGACCTGAACCTTCCTCAGCCTGGTACAGCAGCTAACACAACAGCAGGCTCTTCTTTTTTATTTAGTCAGACCACAGGAAAATGGAAATTCATGATGAGATTTTCATGCTGCCCAGGTATGTGGTGGCCTGGGCATCCAGCCAGGGCAGCCATGTACATATGAAGCACAAGCAACTGTAACTCATCCAGCCCAGCTGACTGATTTGAAAACCTGTCCTTAAATCAGCTGGACTGAGCTGGTCTCCTCATACAAAACACTGAAAGACTTTGGTGTAGAAGAGGGAAGAAAAGTAAAACCAGCAAGAACCCATCCTTTTGTAATTGTAAAATGAAAAACACTGACAGCTATAGTCTGCAGCACTGTGTAATCTGCAATTCTAGAGACATCAGGAGTAAATCCAATTAATAAATCCAAGACAGACCAGGAACCCCTGACCCAGTGCACCAAAGGAAAACTGAAGCCATCTTTTCTTAACAGATCAGGACACGGCTTAGAGGGCAGAGCTTTGATTTTCTCTCACAAGGCTGTTGCTGTGCTCTCGAGGAAGCCAGCAGCCAGCCAAGCGCACGCAGTGCTGCAGCAGTAGAGAACAGCTTCTGGACCCACACAGGAGCTGGCATTTGCTTCAGAAGACAATTCTCCCACCTCTTTCTTCTCCCCATGCATTAGCTTTATCTATGGATTTTGTGCTAGTGGTGGATGCCAAGGTAACAGCCCTGGAAACAGAGTCCTTTTGTACCTGCACAGCCGTGCCAGGCTCCTGTCTGGCCTCTGGTCAGAGCTAAACATCATCCCTGTTCAACCCAAACCCCACTGACTATCCCATCAGCTGAGACCTGTCCAGGTGACTGCTGCCTTGGTATAGCTGCTGGGAAGCAGAGCAAGGTGTCCCGCAAGCCAGGACCCCCGCAGGCAGGCAGGATCCTGCCCCAAGTCCAGGAAGCCCACGGTCCTGCAAAGAGTTTTGGTGCCAACAACACAGGCGTTACAGACTGTTATTGCTAATAAAGCCTGGTGTCTATAGGGAAAATACTAGAATACCTGGCAATAGAAAACCCAAATTACTGTGATTCTGTCCCCAAACCATTGTTTTCCTTAGAGCCATTACTGTAGACCCAAATCCCTTTTATTCCCAGCTAGTTTTCTTAAGGGGGGGATTGTTCTGAACAAGCCAGAAGAACAGAGTAGCAATTCCAAAATAACTACCCTTACAAACATCCCCAAGGAGACCAGTATGGAAGCAGAGTGGAGAGGCCAGCCTTGAACTCTGTCCTGCTGAAAGCCAACACCAAAAGAAAGAACAAATTCCCTCGCACTGCTGAAGAATTCAAAGCCTTTTCCTGATCACAGCCAGGATTCCCCAGGATCAATGGATACACTCACAGTCCAGCCACATCAGGGACGTGATTACCACAGGGCCAAAGACATTCCCGCTAAAAGGGTTACTAAAAATTCTGCTCCATTTTGCAGCATGGATAAGACCTTTATCAGTGTTGAGAATGGGAGAGGAACTGTGATAATTTGTGATTTGCCAGAGCCGAATGCTTCGCATTAGTAACTGGTTTGTGCCTGCAGAGAGAACTTCCCACCAAAAATTCAGCACCAAGCAGTATCAGCCATTACTCTGGCTCCAGTTATCTTGACAGGACCCATGTCACATCCCCAAAGATTTAGTATAACAAGGATCGTGTATTTTAAAACTACATCAACTCTGCATTAAGATCACACGGGGAAACCTCCTCCTGCTAGAGGAATGCAGAAGTTACAGTTCTCGTACCAGGCTCTGATTTGCTCAAATTGCTTAAACAGCAGAGATTTGGGTTGCATTTAACAACCCAGAATGTAACCAAAAATTATATATTCACAACCTGAAAAGTTAATCTTATTACAAGCTACTACTTTGATATTACCTGACATTGTGCTAACACAGACTTCACATTTCAAGCAGCAGCTAAAACAACTTACTGAATGTGTTGATAACCAACCAGTGCATTTGTTCACTTAAGCTCTACAAAGGTTGGCTATGGAAAACTGATAGGGAGGAAACTGCAAAGAGGATTAATATGGGCATTCCAACCATGCTTCTGTGCCTCACTCTGCACATGAAGGAGAGAAATCCAAGCTGCCCGATCGATAGCTATAATTTTGCAATTTTAGAGGAACAAGAGGGAAACTTTCCTGCCACCTCTTGCAGCTGAACAAGCCATTTTTGCACATACAAATGTAAGACTCATTGCAGAGCACAGGTCGTGCTTGGAGTGGAACAGAACATTCTCCCTTCTCGAGAGCCCTGAAGGACACTCGGGAGCCTGCCATTTTCCACCACTGGCAGATGCTCTGCAGGTCCTCACAACACACACAATAGATGTGTCTTATGAGTACTGCTTGAAACATCCAGGACGAGATCCTTGGGTAATATTCAGCTTTGATACACCTTCCAAGGGATTAATAATGTGATGAATTACAAAGTTGACCGAAGAGAAGATGTCTCTGTGCAGGTGCCGGAAACACAGGAGCCTCCAATACTGCTCTCCTGGTTGGCTTGTAGATGGAACAAAGCAGACTGAACGAGCCTCCCTACATGCCACACCATGCACCAAATATCCTGAGAGGGACAAAACTGCAGCACCTGGCCGCAAGTAACAGGAAAGGGGGACAAGCACAAGGAGGAAACACACAGAAGCAGCACTTGGCAGACCTGGACTGTCCTTGCCAGCCTCCTCTCCCACGATGCCGTTGCAGTACATGGCATGGAGCTCAATCTCCGTAGCTGGAAAGCCTTGGTCACACAGTGGGCAAGACACACAGTCAGCAGTTGTAGGACTGCGCTCAGACACAGTCCTGCCAGCATCTCCATCTCCACCAGCCTAAGGAAGAAGAAGAAAAAATTAGCCACACAGTTAATTGTGCCATTTCTCTTTTTTTGCTACATGCAGAGCTCCACGCTGTCTGGTAGCTACTTACTCTCCCATAGACTCAGTTTTTCTTGGAAAGTTTTATTCTCCCTTCATCACATATCAGTCAGAAATAACACCCCTGGCTGAGTAAACTGTGCAGCACTAATAACTAATTCTTCTTCCAAAGGCAACG